TCCCACAGGGGGCAGTACGGTGTGGTGCACCGGGTTTATTATCGAGGTTTGCTCCTCTAGATCCATTGTGTTTTGCCTGGGGATTCGCACCCCCAGTTACCGGGACTACCTCGGGGAGGCTGTGACTCTTCGCCACGCACAATGGTCTTGAGGTAAGAGAGGTTTTGCTAGGTCAAGAGGCTGACACCACAATGGACGCTCCTTTCGTGAACAGATATTCACTAGACCTAGGGTGAAGTAAGGGGGGGAACCCACTACCCACAACACCAACACTTCTTACCCCCTGCCTCTCGAGGCTCAGTCCCGCTTGAGCTGGTAAATGCTAACAAGAAGGTGAAGAGGTGATCATGACAGGCCAGTTGTCTCGTTCTTATAATATATGAATAAAGTTAACAGTTACATTGTCAATGAATGTCCAACTGTTAGCTGAGGTATTCAGGTGTGTTAGAAAATGAACAGACAGATAAAACTGTCTGATTCTACACCAATGAGCAGTGAATTTACACATGACAAGCTAGATATGGCCAAGGCCCTTTATGAGCAAAGCAAAACATCAGTCACAGCAATCCGGGGAGAATGTTGCCTTAGGGAGTGACCTGGGGATCTGACCAACAATTAAAGATAACGCAAGATGGACATATAATCAAATTACTACTTGTAACATCAGAGATGAAATCTGAAATGGCTGCTTAAGATGGGTAAATAGCATTTATGGAAATGTGCTGAGGGCTGTGATTTCAGTATCCAATCCAACTGTTTATGCTTCTGATCAAATATCTCTGTCTTTCTCTGCTCCTTCTGTCTTAGTTAGCAAGATCACTAACTATAATGTCATTAAGGTTGTAACACTTTTGGATTTGTTCAGTGTCAGGTTTTGAAGAGGCAGTGGGTGCGAGCCCTGCTATGTGCTACGTAGATGCTGGTATTTGCGCCCTTAGATATTCCATGTGTCCATCACTTGTATGGTTGACCTGATCTCTGGTTCTGCTGCCGCTATGTCTAAGTGACAGGGCTCTCTACAGTGCACTATCTGGTGGTAGTCATGACTAGTTTTGAGACATGTCCAAACCAATTGACCTCTTGTCTCTTGATGTAGTTTAGTACTAGCTGTGTTCCAACTGTTATCCTGATTTCATCATTTCTTATCCTATCTTTTTTAAAATTTTACTTAGGATTTGTTGTAGATATTTCAATGATGTTGTCACAATAGAGGTTGGTTATATCTGCTGGAATATTACATGTGTATGTCCTGATCTCTCCTAGAGTGCAATCCTCATCCCACTTCCTTCTGAAAGCCACAAGAACTCGCTAATATTTTTTTTTCTAAGCTGGCCATCAAAAGGATCAAAACCTGGTAAACATCACTGGTGGATTATGCTGTGAAACATTACACTACTAACGTATAGTTCTGCTAGGGCCCTCTTTGGAAGCAAAAAATAGCAACACTGCACACTACCAGGCATGTCATAAGAGGCGACTAAGAGTAGAGCTGGGGGGGGGGGGGGTGTCTGACTATCTGATCCTTAAAAAAAACAGCAAAAATGAACATGAAAAAGTTGAAACAAAAAAATCCATTCATATATTTTTCGCACGGTTATTTTATTACAGGTTCAACAAATGATGGTCTTGATGCTGCTATTGAAACGTTTATGATATACTAAACTTTACAACAAAAAAAAAACTATTGCCTGATAATTACACTTACTGAATTTTAGTTATTAAGTTATTATATTTCGAAAAGATGAAAGAATTATGAATTAGAATGTTAGAATGAGTAATTCTGAGTATGAGAATGAGAATGCAACTGTTAGTGTTAGTGATAGTAATAGTAGTGATTCTGTTATTTAGTTCAGCTCTACTTTATACATATATTATATACCTTTAAAACGGGTGTCAAGAACTCAGCCACTCCGAGAGCTGTCCCTTTGACTGAATTGATTATGCTCTGCATGTTGACAGACATCAACTACGTCTGATTACAATGAAACTTGAACAATACTGATCGCAGACAACAGAAATATTTTGTTCATCACAAGATAGTGACGAAGATTGACCCGGAAGTAGAACCTGCATCAGTTCGGTGTTGTAATTAGCTCCCCTTGTCAGGTGTCTCCAACATTCGTTTAATATATATATATGTTTTTTAATGTTTAAACAACGGATCAACATCATAGCACAGGGGTTAGAAATCCATAAGTACTCCGTTCTAATTTCTAAGTCAAGTCTGAGTCTAAAGAATCTAAGCACAGTCTACGAGCTCGTTTTTTTTTTTTTTTCTGTTTTTGTTCTCCAACTGCATGTACTTGTCGCAGAACAACCCCAGCACTTTCTGGCTGTTTGTGGTTTTTCTAGGCAATGCTACGTTCAGTAATTTGTCAATGCTTACTTAACGGCCAGCGATACACATCATTGTTGAAATCCACACACACAAAAAGCGATCTGCTGCTAAATCGTCCGCACTTGGAATTGAACCGTGTACCTCAGAATTACAAAGTCACTCACTCAAGTAAGTAAAATGCTGGCTTTCAATGTCATACCCACCCACAAACAATTACATAATTTTTCGTAATCGTAGGGTATCTTTTTATAATAGTGTTATACAATTCATCGGGGTTTCCGAAACAATCATTCATGAGATATTAATCCTGAAGACTTCTAGACACACCACCACGAAAGAAAAGACATGTGGGAGGACTAAGCTGCCGCCCTCACCCACCCCTCTCCTCCTCTGGCTTACACTTGTACTGGGCAAACAATCGGCTGAGTTGGGACCTCTCATATCCTTTCCACGGCCAGCTCCAGATTTACAGCCGGACGTGATCCTTTCTATCCCACCCCTTCTCCTATTAAACCACGCGAACTCGCTCTCCTTCTTCGGTAGCTAAGGAAATATTCCAATGCTAAAGGTGCCAGTTGCAGTCTGATTAAAGTTCCGCCTACGCTTACCCCCCCCCCCGCCCGCAGAGTTAAATATCACCTAGAATCCCCGCTAACCTCCTGGTGAATTATTCTATCAGAACATCAATACTCACTCCAGCTATCTTCTGAATAACGGTCCCAAATTATCGAGGCTGAAAATAAACCCTAACAGGGCCTTAGTCACGTGTAAATTTCGGACTTCTGTGACTTAAATTGCGCCTTTCCGGCGACTACCCCCACCGCCGAGAGTATCTCAAACAGGCGCTACTCGCGGCGTGGATTGGGGTTAAACTAGATGGCTGGGACTCACGAGCAGCAGCTACAGCCTTTTCTGCAGCTTCCTTCATTTTATTTCCTCGTGAGTCCCAGCCATCTAGTTTAACCCTAATCCACGCCGCGCGAAGCGGCATGGGAGATACTGTCGGCGATGGCGTTATGGTCCCCGGAAGTGCGCAATTCGGCGGTGGATGTATAGTCCCCGGAAGTTCGCAACTGACACATGACTGAGGCCCTGGTATATTTTCAGCCTCGATAATTTGGGACAGTTATTCGGAAGATAGCCCTCTCTTCTATTGCACTGCCCAGTTGAACCTAGAGAACTTTCACCATGTCCACTTTATCAAATAACAGCCCACCACCCAGAGGAGCGACGGTAGCTGAGCTATCAGCCTGTTCATTATCCTATACACCAGAATCTCCCTGGCGAAAAATCCGCTATATAGTTCTAATCTGGGTCTTATTAAGGGCTGAAAGCCAGTATTCGCTTAGGATACTAGATTATACTTTTCCAAAGTTTTATAACTTTCAAGCCACTAGAAAGCTGCCGTTACTGCCCCCGCCTCCATTTTGATACTGAATATGTTAACACTGTACGAGAGGGTCTCTGTTTTTAAACAGTGTCCTTTCGCCTTTGCAATCAGCTACCACCCTCTCTTGCTATACCTCACTGCAGACGCGTCTCTGTACATAATAATGCCACATGGGCTCAGATACCAGCATTAGAGAGAACGTTGGAATAAGACCCTGTCTGGATTATATTGACAAACAAAGAATGAAATGGTTCGGCCATCTAGTGAAAATGCAGCCAGACCAAACTGCGTATGGGACGTTTTACAGAAGAACATCTAGGAGGAAGGAGAGAAGAAGACCAAGAAAGACATTGATACATATATGAACAATCCATTACCAAAAGCCACACAAAAAGCGCAAATACCGAAAACCACGACACTAGGCATCAACTTGGTCTCATTGAGAGAAAGAAGAAGAAAATGGGCGCATATTTTCATTGATTGTCTTTCGCACCGCTGTCTCTGTTCAAAATTGCCTTTAGAATCCATTAGTGCCTCATTAATTCCCAGGTAGATTCCCTATCAATGATGCAGAAGTTTTTTTTTTTTTTTTTTTCATAATCTAATATAAAGTGGTGAATTTAATTCGATACTCTGCTTTATTATTATCCGCAGTGTGGCTTTCTGGTCAGTATAGGGTCTTAGTTAGTTAGTTGGGTTATCATCATTGCACTCCGGACATGTCCACAGGTGCTCAGATCCTTCCCTCAGTATGAACCCCAACGTCCGATGGCTAATAGTACCAGTTCTAAGTTGATTAACAAGTCTTCTGGTGTGCGTCTCGTTTTTTGCTATGCCGATCTTAATTCCCAAGTCTGCTATTCTGGCGAGTGATGTGGATTTACTGCCCCCGAAGTCCTCTATCCTTCCCATTTCTTTGATGGCATTAATAATATCAGCATGATCCATAGGCTGGCCGTCGGTAGTAATAGCGGATCCAGCCAACTTATCAGCTCTTTCATTTCCATCGACGAAAGCGTTTCCTGGAACAAAAATAAATGTGACTCCGCGCACAGTGGACTTCTGTAATGATTCAAGCCATTGTCTTCACACCGAACCTGCCTGAACCCTCCGGATCATACTCATTGAATCACTAAGTATACATACGCGGGTGTAGTTTTGTGTTTCGAACCAGGCGAACGCTTGCGTTACCCCCATCACCTCCATCGTCATGCTGCTGGTTGTCATGGAGAAGGCGCCGTTGGCTTCTTTGACTGTTCTGCCCGTTGAGGAGCGTGCTATGAATGCCCATGCGCTTCTTTTTTGGCGTATAACGGATCCCTTGTGTAGATTAGTGCATCTGCTTCGTCTGAATTTTCTCTGATTTGATTTGATTCAAGAACCGACATCACAGCACTCGGGGCTGAATTAATATTTTTAAAAATATACATTGAATTTTCTTTGATGAGAGCGTTGACCTCTGTATTAACAACAACAGGATTCTCTTCACTACATCACAAATCGAGTGTGGCCAGTGTAGGGTCTGCTTGGGCGAAAACCTGCTTGTTCATCCCTTAGCTCTTTATTAGTAGCATCTTTTTCCCAACAAAAAAAAAAAAAAGCTCACACATTACAATTCCTATATAGTTATAACACTCCAGAGATTACCTTTGGGAGGGGTAGGGGCAGTTTCACGAAATATCATTGTCTCCAGTCTGTTCGTATTTCTTCCGTCTCTCAAGCTTTACTGGATAATTTGTGTAGCAATTTCGTAGATGTGTTTATGTTGACGTAAATAACTTCTTCTGCGATATTGTCGCGCGCCCACGTGGGTAAATACACTGATATAGTGAGGGTGTGGGTTTGATCCTTAACAATGCCCACCCACGTGAGAAACTGGACTATTATCTAAGCTATGTTGATCCTAGACAGTCCTGGATAGCCAAGAAAACAGCGAGTGGCTCGTTCCATGAAATGAAAGTTGCTGTACTTGTATCCACAGGAGAAGGAGAAGGGATAGATAGATATCTGGATAAACCCACTGTGATATAATCCAGGTGCTCAGTTAACCCCTGCGACTGGTCTCCTCTCCTGGCATTACTTAAAAGCCCCCATCAAGTGATTTAAATATTTGTTAGCTGAAGTAAACTAATATGCACATAGACACTTGAACCTAAGTACACAATTTACTTAACTCTGTGTAACAACATCAAAAAGATTTATTTAATAAATCGAAATTAAAATGAACTTGTTTAGGCTAGTAGAGTTTAGGTTATGTGAATAATGATTTCATAAAGGTATTGGAAAGTAACAACCTTTGGACAGTTCTCGGCTTGAGACCCTGCCTATCTTTTCCAGTTTGTCGTCCTCACTGCTTTCTGCAGGTCGTTACACTCGACGGTCGGCAAATAATGGATGCCTACTAGTCCCTGCCCAATGTGGGAACTGGAGAATGAAGAAACAAGCGCATATTTGTAGTATCTGCTCTAGATGTACACTAAGCATGTATATTATACTAACATCAAGCATGTTTATTTAAATAAAACATTTCATCTCTCCCTCATGCTCACATTCACTCCTGTCCAATTTGGAAGGGCTTATGTCTCACATTCCAACTGTTACATCTTCTGCCTTCCTCTACACGTCCTGTAATGATAGTCAAGTCTTCTACGTCAGGTGCCATCTCTCGTACAGACTCAAAATGACAATCAGTCAGACAGAACCAGTTCTGGAATCTATGCTTGGAACAATCGACGCGCCCAGAATGCTAACAATAGTTCTGGGGCGAATCATATAACAAATCTCGTGGATTTACTCTCCGGGATCAATCTCCGCATTAGCCTCCCGAGAGTTAAACACATTTCAGTGTGTAAGCTGTATGTAATACAGATTCACATTAACCACACGTGACAAGATTGCCAAAGTTATCTTCACGCTTGTGATTTCAAAAACATGATAGTTCATTAAATTTCAATGGCGACAACAACATTTAGGTTTTACAACATTGAAACACATGTGCACGAAAAAACATTCATGACACTATCAAATAGGATATAAAGCAATGTGACAGTGCCCTACGAGAATGAAGAAATGTCCGCCTAGGAGTACTACAAAGTGATGAAGACACACACTTGAGTAAAAAGACAGTTAGAACTCTATCATAAAATATAGATTTGAACCTAATTTCGATCTTACCTGGAAAAATGAAACCACGATGCCAAAAGTTCTGTCTCAAGCTTAGGTTAAATCCAACAGA